CCCCCCCCCCCCCCCCCCCCCCCCCCCCCCCCCCCCCCCCCCCCCCCCCCCAACACGTGCTCTCTCTCGGCTGCTGCTTAAGCGTGTACTCGTACAGGTACTAATTCAAGTTGGTAGGATACCCCGTACTCCATACTTTTGTGTGTTTTATTTTTATTTCTAAATTCTAATTCTTACTCGTTTCTTTTTAATATGCAATTGCTCCGTCATTGTGGCTCTGCTCGCTCAATTGTTTGCATTGATGCAGCTTGGGCACTCGTACAGTACCTAAAGTACCTGTAGCCAGTGACGACGGCAATCAACAACGCACGGAGCAGGTGAGTGAGCAGCCACTCGATTTTTTTTATCAAGGTGATCCCGGCCACAGGCAAATGGGACCTGCAACGTCCAAACGCTTGTATCCAGTACATGCGGCAATTTTGTTCGCGGAACCAAGGCACGAGTAATAAAACAGAACAACTTCTGTTACTTGCTGGCCATGTCGTGTCACAAGCGTTTTATGATAGAAGAGGGACAAAGATGGAAGGGGAAAGAAAGAAAGACGGCCAAAAATGTGAGAGATGAGATGTCGACAGGCGGGTGATGGATGAGATTTTGGTATTGGTAAGGGAACCCGCAACGGGGAAATTGATGGGAACCTTTTTTTTTTTTTTTCTGCCCGTCTTTTTTTGTCTGGTCTCTCTCTCTCATCTCATCGTGGTCGGATTTGGCGTTCTTTTTGGCACCGACGGCGGGGCTAGGAACATGGAAGCGCCATCCGGCAGCAGATATACAGCGCCGCGCGTGTACTTGTACTTTACACCCGCAGCGGGCGGTGGACACCCGGGAGCGGGCAAAGCGCCGCCCGGGCCTGTAAGTTCAAGTTGTATGTACTTGCGCTGGAGGTTCCAGGTCTCTTAGGTCCTGAATTCCATGGTAGCATCAACGCATGTGTGCGAGTACCATCACACGAGGATATCCATTCAATTTCTAGCGATATCCGACGCCTTTTTACGCCACCAGAAATCCCCCTCCCGTGTCAACTGTAACTTCGGCCAGTATCATCCATCACCCCATCACCTGCGCCGCTGCAACTCAGCGCCACTTCGCCGCCTGGGCCAATGCCGTGGGCGCGTCCGGCTGTTGTGCAACGCCCAAAAGGCCCGTCTAGGCACCGAGTTAGCACATGCAATTTTAAAGGTGCGCTGTACTGTCTGGTCTTTTCTGTCTGCAGTGGTACTGTATTCTATCTGGTCTGGTCTGGTACTTAGTATTTACCAGACAGACGAGTTACGCCTTGTGGCAGCGTGCCTCCCGACGTGTATTCGGTACCTTTACTCGTACATGTACATTTACTTGCATGCGCTCGCTGTGAAACCCCCCCGGTCCTATGTACATACTCGTACAGGCGGCGTCTCTCCCTGGCCAGCAGACAAGCACGTCCATGCACGGCGTTTACAGGGTGTTATGGCGTGCGTTTTCGGGGCCCAGACAGACAATGAACGGGATCGTCCCCAAAAGCAGCTCGGTAATTCTGCTGCGAGTGGTGCATCACCTTTGTTGCGCCCATGTCTCTGTACTTTCGGCCCGTAACGAAGGAGGTACACGGAATAGATCTAGCAGGTACCTCGAGGCTGCGGCCCAGGTACCTTAGTTTTAATCACCTTAGTACCAAACCCCCAGCCCGTTTTTGGCGCCGATTTTAGCATCGCTCGGAGAATGTCCTCATCAGCAAAACCGCACATATGATGTGTCTGATTCTGATCAATGTTTTCTCTCCTGCAAATTAATTCTCGCGACACCCAACCGGCGCTAATCCAATCGCCCACAGACGCCTCCTCACAGCTCGTTGGCCGCTGGACTGATTGCCTTTGAAGTCGGCGAGCAGCGTCGTTTTGCCAGCCGTCGGCGTCAGCCCTACGTAGCTCGAGACTCGAGAGTTCCCTTTTTTTTTTCATTTTATCTTGCTGTCTCGTCGATCAAGTACAAGGAAAAGAGGAACAAAAGAGACCGAGCCAAGGAATAAAAGGCCTGGGGGAGGGGAGGGGGCTTGACTCGCATCAGAACGATTTGTTATCCATCACACACCTCTTTTTTTTAATTCATTTATTTTATTACACGCGGCAGACGGTATTAAAGTTGGCAGTCATCCACAACCCTGCGCCTTGCCGAGGGTCCTCCAGACCTCACCTCTTCATACCACCACCGACTTTTTCCCATCCGCAACCTCTGCCCAGCATCAGCACGGCAACGACAGCAAGGACGGCAGACGTTCACGGCATCCACCCGCTCCATCACTGCGATTCATTGTCGTCGGCATCGTCGCCGTCAGCGTCACAGCCGCCATCACCGCTACCGCCACGCCCCGTGCCCTTGTCAAGCACAGTCAATCCTTCCAAGCCGACTAACTATTCCGCTGCCGAATCCGAATCCAGCATCACCACAGGCGACAATCGGAACCCCACCGGCGGTGTCCAAGGGAGCTAAATAGTAGCATTCTCGCCTACACGTCCTTGGAGTCGTTTCGACCCCACGCGACGCCATAGCCCTTCCCATTTCACCTCCAGTCTGCCATACCGGTACCCTCTTAGCTGAGGCTGCGGCTGTTGCGCGGTGGAGGCTACATTAGGAGCACGCAGCTAAAAAAGAGCTTCCCCAGAGGCTAGTGCGCGGGCGAGTCAAGCAGAAGCGGCGGGCGGGACACCTACGGCTGAACGATAGCGACAGACCGGCGGTATACAAGCCTGACCCAAGTGACACCACCGCCCATTCGAAAGCCTCGGGGATCTGTAGCCTCGATCAAGGCGAGACGTCGACAGAGACTCAACACAACAGGGACAAGGTCCTGTCACAAATATCCGGCGTGTCAGGGGCCTTGTTCAACGAGGCTAGAAGAGAGTAGTGCTTCCGACTGCTTGGACCTCTTCGCCAATTAATCAAGGCAGGAAAAAGGGAAGAGAAGCGGCAACGCCCCCTTGCCCGAGTGTGCAATTTAGAGCTAGGACAAAGAAAAAGCAAGGCCAGGGGCTAGGTGCCGGCATCAGAAAACGAAGCCGGACAAGGCACAGCTCGGGACGCAGACCGGTTGCGCGCGTGCGCTGCCGCAATCCCGTTACACCAGGGCCTCGAGCCTTGTCGTCGTCGTTGTCGTCGTCGTCGTCGTCGTCGCCGTCGCCGCCGACAGTCATGCGACCCGGATCGTTCTCACTGCCGCCAGATCGCCAACTGCTCAACGACAATATCCCCGACCATCACGACGGCTATCACCACGGCTCGGAGCACAGGCACGACGAGAATTGGAGCCAACACCAGGCGCAGAATGCGGCCTTTTATGCCCCGGAGAGCAGCAACACCACCACCAAGATGTACTACGACCAGTACGGCCACCCCCACGAGCACCACGGCCACGACCAAGGCGAGGCCTACGACGACGAGGAGGTCATGACACCTGCCCCCGACGATGGCGCTGCCGGTGGCAACGGGAACGTGGAATCCCATCCCCAGCCACAGATCCAGTACACAACCACATATTGGGGACATCCTTACCCACACTCTTACACCACCCAAAGCTATCATTACCCTCCCGCACAAGCAGCCCCCGACCAAGATATGAGCGACAGTGACGATGGCGCCGCGGCAACCAATGGACATTTTTATCACGACGACGACCTGATAGACGACGAGGAAGATATGGAGAGGGAGGAAGACGGTGAAGGGTATGAGGACGAAGACGACGAGGAAGAGGAAGCCATGCTAAACAACTACCCACACCAATACGGACACCCTGTGCCACCACACCATGTGCAACCCGGCGGAAACCACCCGATACCCTCCCTCATCCAGTACTTGCAACAAGGAGGTGGAACAGGACCAGCCCCAATACAAAGCGCATTCTCGCAAGAACTCGCCGACCAAGCCGCCAACTACTTGGCACAGCAAGCTCCACCGGGCGACGACGAGATATCCCTTGACGAGGAGGAAGAAGAGATGTTGCAAGACCCTTTCCCTCCCGTTCACATGAGCAATCCAAACCCCAGCATCCTGGGGTCCGAAAACTACGGCTTGATCGACTTCCTGCGCTATTGGGCATACGGCAACGTCCTGCAGTCGGGCCATAAGCTACCGCGGCCCGGCATCCGCAGAGTCCTGAAGCAGGCCACCAGTGGAGTAGAGCGCGTGTACTACTCTGACCTGCGCGGAGATGGCTGTGACATACAAGGTCTGGATTGGGATAGTATGAACACAACGCGTAGTGCCGCCAGGGAGATCCGTCGATATACATACAAGAACTACGTCAACAGGCCGGGTTCTGATATTCACGTAAGTCACACAGGCCTTGTCAATTTGCTTTACATCAAAGCAAAGAATAACTGCTCTTCTTTCATGTTTGATCCAAGAACCCCCTTCTTAACCAAGATTGAATAGATTTCGTCAGAGGTCAGCCTTCCCGCCACCGACAGCTTTTTCAGGTTCAGGAGAATGGACGTTCGCCGGGATATCAGCCTTGCCCATTTCCAGCTTCGGAGCGTGCTTGCTTGTCCCGGTCGGACGCATGCATACTATCCCAGCGTGCAAGGCATCAACATTCTCAACACGACAACGAAAAAGACGAGCCTAGCGATGAATCTGCGTGCTTTTTCTGGAATGGCGGCGCCCGCCATATCAACCCTTGATGCCGGCTGCGGTGTCTTGATGGCCGGTACCTTCAATGGCGACTACTTTCTGCAGTCGTTGACGGCCGAGGACAAGAAGAGTTACTCGGAGGGACAGATTTCCAACGACGTCAGCGGGATTACCAACCACATCAAGATATACAAACCCAGGAGGTCCGACAGTCCTGCTGCTGCCATTGCAAGCAATGATCAGGGCTTCCGCCTCCTGGACCTTCAGACGGAAAAGTATACCGCCAAATTCACGTATCCCTTTGCCCTCAACTGCTCGGCCATGTCGCCAGACGGCCGACTGAGAGTCGTCGTAGGCGACGACCTGAACGTTTTGATCACCAATGCGGAAACGGGCGAGATCCTACAACAGCTTGGCGGCCACCGCGATTACGGGTTTGCCTGTGACTGGTCGGACAATGGCTACCACGTCGCCACCGGTTTCCAGGACAAGACGGTCAAGATCTGGGACGCCCGCTACTGGCGCAATGCCAATGGCGTCAGCGCCCCGGTCTGCACGATTGCGACGGAGATGGCCGGCGTCCGAAACCTGCGCTTCTCTCCATCTGGCAGCGGCCGACCTCTCCTTGCCGCAGCAGAAGAGGCCGACTTCATCAACCTGATTGACGCCAAGACGTTCCGCTCCAAGCAGGTCATTGACGTGTTCGGCGAGATTGGAGGCGTGGCATTCACCAATGACGGACAGGACCTGAACGTTCTCTGCTGCGACGCCCACCGCGGAGGCCTGCTGCAGTTTGAGCGTTGCAGCTTTGGAGTTGACGAGCCTCTCACGGGAGGCGTGCAGCGGCTCCTGAAAATAGACGACCACTCTTCCACTCAATGGGATTTCATACTACGGCGCCGACCGCCAATGTACCTGGACGGCCCGGGTGTGTTTTAAAGCAACCCCCGCAATCCAACCGTCATGAAGTTACGATTCAATATGCATATTCCTTTCTTCTTGTCTGTTAGCCTCATCTTGCATTCTCATTGAAACTCACTTTTTTTTGGCCTGTACATACTTTTCTTCTCTCTATGCCATTGATGACCTCTTTGTTTTTAGCCTTGTTGCACTTCTTTTTTTACTTCATTCGGGCTCCATCATTCTTCTGTCTCATTACTCGCTGTTCCAGGGATTGTATCCTGCGCCTTTGCTCTTTCCAAGCATACGTCGTCTGTTACTTTTGAGTTTGGAACATACCTTGGCCTCTTTTGTCTCTTCTGCTTCTTCTTCCTGTCCTTTGCCAATATTGTTTGAGGGACTCATGATTGCCATTTTTTCATTTTTTTGCTGCATATTGCGCTGCGATGAAATTTCGAGAGTTTCCGAGAAGACGGGGAAAACACCTCCTCAAAAAAAGAGGGAAAAAAAAGGATGGATGAGCAGGGAAAAAAACATGGAGTTGTAGGGTACCAAGCCTTTTTACCAACTTGGTCAAAACTGCATTACTACCTATGGCATTTGCGATTTCTCTTGTTCCTTTTTCTTCACTTTCTTCTTCCTGGGTATGTACGTGGTCAAATACACGAGGACACACTGTAAGGGATATAAGCCATCTTTTTTTTTTTCTTGCTTTTTCTTCCTCATCTCCAATTTTTTTTCTTTTTTTTTTTGCAAGAGAAAAAAAATCACTCTTCACTTTCCCCTCAAAATTCCCATATCGGTCAAAATTCCCATACCGGTTTTTGATGTGCTCGGTCACAAGGAAAGGGGAAAGGTTCGCGTTTTAGGTTTATTGTCATGGTTAGGATTTTGTAGCTTTTTTTCTAGGCTGGAACAAAACACAAAAACTCAAAAGGATGGAAAAAATACCGAGGTCTCAGCAGGGTTTCTTTTTCTTTTCTTTTTTCTTTTTTTATATATAGGATGAAAAATTGCTTTGAACCGTTTTACTCTAGCAAGATTCATTATTTGCAATAGTGGGAGTTGGCCATGTTTCATTGTGTGTATATCCTTCTCATTTTTAGGTGCGTCGTACAATTTCGTTAGGAAGACAAAAAAAAAAAACCTTTTTTCGCCTGGTTACACTAAAGTAGTGTTGTGTTCCTCGTGACAGCTAGCTATTTTCTTTACTGTCGGTGTGGTGCTTATCAAAGGGAGGGTTGCACATGAGGTGTCGGAAGTCGTGTTATGTCGTGCTCAGCTTTGCGCATATATTGCTGTATCACGACATTCGGGCGGTGAGCGAAACGATTAAAGGCACTCTTTCGGCGTCCTTTTTTTTTTCTATACGATGAATTAGATTCAATGACAATGATCTTACACGAGTTCAATCAAGTATCTGTACATGCTTTGGTAGTAAAAAGGCCAGCATCCGACCTTCAAGCTTTAGGGTAGGTCCCGTTGGAGGATGATGCCATGATTTCTCTTCATCGTACAGAGTAGAACTTGACGTATACCAAAAGAAACTACCATCTGCTCCGAACAAGCATTTATTTACTAAACAATACTCTTAACAACGTGTAAATATCTTCTTCATGAAAAAAATCTCCAGTGTTTTTAGCATATGTATCAACAGAGCGATAAGAATCCAAGGATAGTACCAAGCAACGCTTTTGCATGCATATAAGGTTGGCTCACTGGAATGCAATCCCAGTTGCTGTGCCATCCGAGCTTCATGCTTGGTAGCCGACACTTATAAAGAGCCGGCTTATTGCATCATGGTAAGACATAAGCTGTTACATGGCCGCTGTCTTAACTACATCATATTGATAAGAAATACTTTGAGATAGTCGCGGACTACGGCGACTGATGTGCTATCTGGAAGCACGGCTTAAGCAAGAATATCACGTTCAAAACAGTTTCGTCATCGAATAATTAAGTAATTACAGCATTAGAATCAGATGCTAAATGTACACCCGGATCTATGGCGACTTCATATACAGAAACACCGCGCAGTTGCCAAAAACACAAGCCATGAGACCCGCCCATCACAATACCACAAAAGGACACAAAATTTGCAGCCAACCAAGTTCCATCTCTTTGTCTAGGAGCGGCCCCCAACGCCGTTTATGACCGCCTGAACTTCCGAATCGGCATCAGGGTGTCATTTGTGGTCCCGCACTGGTGGCCAAATACACAAAGGGGGACCGACGGATAGAACCGGGCGAGCTTGACATTCCCATACATTTAGTAAATGACGTTCAGCTGCAGTAAAACCCATCCAAGCGTTGCGTATTAAAAATCTTCGACTTCCTTACTCGTTGATGCCGAAGGCAGCGGCGGCACCCCAGCTCTGCTCACAGCCAAAGCTGCCGGGCTGCTTCCACATGTCGTCGTCCACAGAGAAGAAGACGGTCTTGTTACCGCACTTGGAACGGATGTTCTTGAGGGCGGTAGCCTGCGCGTCAGGGCCAGGGCAGGCACGGTGGTTGCACTGACCCTGCTTGGGCCAACCGCACTCCAGGTTGAGGACATCGTTGCCGGGGCAGATCTCCTTCAGGAGCTCGAGCTGTCCAGCGACGAAGTCACCAGCGGAATCGGGAGTGGTGTCGGGGTTGAAGAAGGGGTGGATGTTGGCACCGGTGACATCGATAACACCGCAGATGGCGGAGGAGACGGCGGGGTTCTGCCAGATGTTGAGAGTCTCGGAGATGGTGTAAGGGCCGCTGTAGCCACTGCACTTGCCCTTGACGATAGTGATGAGCTCAGCGAGCTGAGAAGCAGAGCAGAAGCCGTTCATAATGGCCTCGTTACCGACGACGAAGAGCTTGACCAGATCCCACTCGGCCCAGGCAGCAATGGCGTCAACCTGGCTCTTGATATCGGGGGTCTCGTAGCTGCAGCCATCACCCTTGACGAAGACACCGATGATCAGCTCAATGCCGTACTTCTTAGCAGCACCACCAACGTTCTCAAGAGTGTCGCAGTCAGTGGAGTAGACACGGATGACCTGGAAGCCGGCGTTCTTGAGCTTGGAAATGTCCGAGTCAACCTCATCAGCAGTCTTGCAGTTGCCGGTGGCAGGCTCATAGGGAGTATAAGTGATACCATAGTGGTCGTTGTTGCCGCTGAGACCACCGCTGGGAGCCACAGGCTTGGGCTTAGGAGCAGGGGCAGACTGGGTGGGCTTGGGCTTGGGAGCAGCGGGAGCAGAGTAGGCGGGGGGAGAGTAGGCGGGCGCACTGGGCTTGGCGGGCTCCTGAGTGGACTGAGCGGGAGGAGGAGGAGGAGGAGCAGCAGCAGAGCTGGCGGGGCTGGTGGGAGCAGCAGCGGGAGTAGAAGTCGGGGCACCGGAGCTGGCGAAGGGGCAGTAGGTGACGTAGTCGGTCTCGGTGACGGTGACGACCTGCTCGGGAGCAGTGTAGGTACCGGGCTCGTAGCTGGTAGGGACAGGGTACACCAGGAGGGTGGACGAGGGGACCACAGTGGTGATGGGAGCAATGGTGTAGGTACCAGCAGCAGGGCAGACGTAGGTGGTCTGCACAATGACGCTAGTAACCACGGTGCCGCTGGTTGAGACGGTGGCAACAGGGCAGACGACGGTGGTCGCCGTCTCAACGACAGTGGTAACACCGCCAACGGTGTGTGTTCCGGGAGGCACCTGGGTCGAGCTAGCACCACAGACGGTGGTGGTGTCGGTCAGGGTGATGGTCGTGGCCGGGATGGTGTAAGTTCCGGGAGTTGGGAAGGTGACCGGAGAGGGAGTCGGAACAGGGACGACGTAGACCTCAGAAGTAGGAGCCGGAGCCTGAGTCTCAGCCGAGGTGGTGGCCGGTGGTGCAGGAGCAGGAGCTGTGGTGGTAGGCAGAGGAGCTGCGGAGGTCGAAGGAGCCTTGATGGGAACCACTTTGAGGCAATGTCAGCACATCACTTACACCAGATGCAATGGGAACGGGGGCGCTCTCTGCTTCTCCCGGAAGCGCCCTGGGGATCATCGACGTACAGGTAGGCTCGCCGGTGATGGTCGAATAGATGGTGGTGCATCCAGGGACGCAGACCTCGCCAGTGGCGGCTCTCTTCGCGGCGAAGAGCTCGTGGGCGTGGCGGTGACCGTGAGAGGCGCTGGCGGCGCCAGTCAGGGCAGCCACGGCGGCGGCTGCGAAAGCTCCCTTCATGGTGGAGTTAAGAGTTTCGGCTAGGTATGTAAAATAGCAAGTACAAAAAAAGAATGCCCGCTGAAAGAGTGAAGCGGTAAGTTGGTTTACTGGAGAACAAAGAATCGAAGCAAGTTCCTTCAAGACCTCGCTTTGACGATCCGTGGGGAGTAGGAAAAAAAAGAAGAGAGAGACGGCACGATTTGGTGGGCAAGGCGGCTATTATTATGAGTACGGGAGGTGCGCGTGCAGGCGGGTAACATGGCTCGTTGTTGTTATTACCTTGGCCTTGGCTAGCCTGCTCACCAACAGCCGGCCGAAACGTGTACCTGGCCGGCTGTGGAATCCTGCGCTGCAGACGAGGTACTGCCCCAGCTGGAGGTGGAATGACAGGGGTTTGGCAGAGGGGGGGTGGAAAGAAGACGAGCCACTGTGGCTACCTCTGCGTCCATCACTGGCTGCTGCTAATAGAAGCTGCTGCTAGGCCAAGGCGGCTTCTCATCGCCAAATAGGAGAGGGTGGAGCTTGGCCAAGCAATTCCCATTTTGCGCCTGAGTCCTCCTTGAAAGGGGCAGCGAGCTCTCGACGTGGCCGGCTGGATCAAAACTAGTAGCAGGAATTTCTAGCGCTCGGAGGCTGCTGCAAACAATGGGCGGCGCTGCGACATTGAGGCTGCTGAGCTGTGCAGAGCTGGACGGCGGGAATCTTGGTCAACAAGGAATCCAGCGGTGGTGTGGCTTTGCTCATCCGCCAGATCTGCTGCCGCCTCCAAACTGCTTCGTATTGAGAATCGGAACTCCACGGATCCATAGTCTGCATGCTCCAGGGTCTGGTGATGAGTGGCTGATCACCTCTATGCCGGGAGATGAGCGTTGCCTTGTCATCTGAGATATTTTGGCTGGCGCTCTCCCTCCCTTGCAAGACACACAAAGGAGACGAGGAGCTGTGGACAAATCAACGCCGAGGGACGATCCTCTGGCCAATCTCGGACGTGGGTTCTGGTTGGCTAGTCGCTAGCTACGAGATTGTTCCTGCATATGCCCACTCCGCTTGGCTCATGAGCGGGCCAGGCACAAAACGCCTCGCACTTTGCTAGACCCGGTTTGTGCGCCCGTCCCCTTGCCTAAGCCTAGTGTCCGGCTGGTCGGCGTTTCTGATGTTGGTGATGGCGTCAGCCGCAGCTCAGAGGCCTTTTTGCCTTGGTATTCTTCATCCTCTGTAGATGAAGTTGTCCGTGCAAGTCTGTGCCGCACATGTACGGGTTGGCCTCTGCTCCTGCGAAGGCCGTGGATACCGACCCAACATCAGCGGTGGGTTACATTCTGTGCCATTTTAAGCTTAGATTCTCGGCAATACTCGAGGGGCCTTTTCGCTGCCAACCCCGGCCTGTGTTCCAACTTGTCCCATTGCAAGGGGTCCGTTTTAAGGTGTCTTGGCCCGATTTGTGCCTGGTCCGCATTGATTCCGAGGGCAGTGTGCACCTTTGGCTTGACCGCTGTGGTGCGAAAACTGCTCATTTCGAGAAAGGGGCGCGTTCGAGAAGCCTGGTCCGATGTCGTCCAATCATGGCTACCTACTCACTATTAGTCTTACTATTCTGGCAATTCTCGTATTCCAGAATGGATTCCTACCCCTGTCGCCCAAAGGGGGTCGCTTGGGTTAGCCCATGGCACAGCAATCCTCAATTTGCGACGCGGGTTCGTCAAAGTGCCGGGCACGCCGTGGAGTTGCGCCTGGTGCTTGTACGAGCAACAGACCGCTGATTGTCCAAAACCATCCCCAGATGAGGAAAGTCGTTAACGGTGTCGTCGAATTTGTCTTTCTGCATCTGTTAGCCCAAGAACAGCGCTTGGCCAGGAGTGCAGATTACCCGTACGAATCCTCGTAGCCAAACGGAGTTTTCGTTTCGTACCTGCGTGTGTAAGGAGGGAAAAATAATGGACCGAGTGCATGTATGTGCTCCGTAATATCATTGTCATTATCACGATGATAAAAAACCCGCGAGATTTGTGTGTGCTGGATTACTCTCGTCTAAGCGAACTCTGTTTAAGATTTCCGTCTCTGTCCCTCTTTCTCTCCCCCCCCCCCCCCCCCTCTTCCCTCTTCCTTATTTCTCGTCTTTTCCCTCTTCGCGCTTTCCGAACCCTGCAGTGCGCCAATCTTAGCCTGAGGCACTCGGTGCAGGCGCAAGGGACGTTCGCACCCTGCCTAGGTAAGGAAAGGTGCTGCAAAAATATTGGGGGATCTGCAGGAACTGTAAGAATCTAGTTTTTTTCGCCCGTGGCGTCGCAGGCTCATTTATATATAGGTACCTAGCAGCAATGCCTACCTTATCAATCTACTCCGTACAGCAGTGTGAATATAGCAGATGGAGCTGTTGATAGCTGCTACCGGTAAGTAAGTACTAAGGCATGCGCTTATAAGTGAATTGAAGTGTTGCACAGGGACTGCAACGGGATAAAAACCTGACTTATTCTACTTGGACAGAGAAAAAACCACGGGAAACGCCGCTCGTAGCGATGCTACTGTAACATGCAACGTACCAGGTAGGCATTCTGCAGTATTACTCTTTTGTTGTTGCTGAGGGAATGATTGAGTGGAAATTCAACATGAGACAGCCCAGCAGCTCGTATTTCTTGGTGTTTGGAATCAACTCGATCCAGCACTAACACTCCTCCGTAACCGCTCTGGAAGAATTAACCGCCGTTTGCATGACATCGCGAATGATGCTCCGTATCAAAAGTCTAATTGCCCAATTTACTCCAGTAAACCATGCACAGCGTCGATAAGCTTGATACTTGCAATTTATCTCCAAGGAACCCCTGGTTATAGCAGCCATGTATTAGTATTAGCAGCGTGGAGAGGCGCCTGGGATCTCTCAAGCCACACTTCACTTTCGTTGGAGTGGCACGTGACCTCGCTACGCCACACCTCCATGGGTGATCAGATAAGGCTGGAAAAATTCGCTGTCAAACGTTTTTATATGTGGTAGCATATGCCCGTCATGATACCCCGGCCGGGTTGTCAGTCCGTTTACCGGCAATGTCTGTTGCACGGTCATGGCCGTTTTACTACAAATAGGCGGACTAACGTTCACTCCGTTGGTACCACCAAGACTGCTCTTCTGGGGCCTCAAAGAGTGAGTCTCATCTTGGCCGGCCCCAGCATGAAGCTATAACTTACACATGACATGTAGCGTTGGGAGAGCACAAACAGTCAACCTCACCCACAGGTAAAATATGGACAATCTCACGTACCGAAATCTGCCCCTCAAAATTTGGCAGACAAAGATCTCAGTTACTTGCCAATCCGCAAGCGACTGCAATTATGGGCGGCCCAGAACGGACAATACAGCTCAGATAGCATGCCTCCAGATATGATCCTATATGGAAGCGTCTCAAACCATCTGAGTCGAACTCAATCAACAGGGTCATCCGAAATGGATCAACTGCGGCCTAGCCAGGCTGGAATGACGGACGAGTATGAAGAAGACATGGGTGCTGACGAGCCAGAAGCTGCTGCTGTTGGCGTGAGCTCCAGGCAGCCTGGCGATCTTGTCGAGTTGAAGTGAGAAACCAACACATCCATCTCGGGGACTCGCGCTAATAAATGTTGAAAACAGACAAACTGGCTCACGAGTACCTCTCTTTGCAATCTATCTTGGGTATTTTGGAGAGAGAAACCATTTCTATGCTGTCAATGGCAGATGGCTTACCAGCATGGGCTACTCACCTTTATTCACGGTTGCCAAGTTTGTGGCGAAAGAGGAATTGGCACCCGTAATGGCCAAAATGCCCAGGAGCGGCTCTCCTGAAGTGTTTGAAGATCTCCGTCGCAACGAAAAGGGCCCCTCCAGAGATGACGGTGCTCACCTTATCCAGAAGATGGTGGACTTCAGAGTCAAAGCAGATACGGTGCATCAAATCTACCTGGAGAAAATGGATGCAGTCCGCAATTTTCTTTCCAATCGACGACAAGTCAGCTATCTCAGCCTCTGGGAGATTGCCGACGTATTACTCCCAGAATCTCTCAAAAAGGATGGCCGCTTCTCTCCCTTTGCCCTTTATGCAGTCCACTCAGCGCTTTATCAGAATGAGATTGGTTTCCGACCACTCAGCCCTACCAGTGATTGCCATCGCCGAGATCACTTGTTCGAGATTTTCCCTCAATCTCATACAAATGTCATCAACAAAGTTGTTGCCATGGTTCGTGATTACACAGAAACGAGTGGGAAGCGCTTGAGGCCGCCCAAGCCGGATGAGCTGGAAGAGACTCTGCTGGGCAAGTTCATCAACCAGGCACGCAAGATAGTTTTGGCCAGCCGTTCGAAGCGGCAATGGACACCACATGGCATCCTCACACCCGCAGACGGTGTGCAGTTGCCGCAGCCAGAGTGGTCTCAGTCAAGCAAGGATATCATTGCGTTCCTGGAATGGTGGGCCAGTTATGACCTGTTTGAGCCTGGATCGAAGTTTCATGGCCACGGTGCCTTGATTCTCCGCGCTCTTCAGCTATACGACGATGCTGTTCTCGACCAGAGCACGGCTTGGACGTTTTTACAAGAGATTGGCGTCATTCCCCCTTGGGAAGTTCCATCACGTTACAAAGTGCGCTTTCCTGATGTCACAATCACTAGGGGTGGTGGTCTGGAGCGAGAGATCCCCCAAGATCTTGAAGAATCCAAGCGGCCAGACGTGGCGGCTGGTTTCAGACGGGAGCACACACAGTCTACAATATTTTGCATCGATGCCGTGCCAACTATTGTCATCGATGACGGTATCTCGGTTGAACGCACGGAAAATCCCGATGAGTTCTGGCTCCATGTTCACGCGGCAGATCCTGCTTCCAGCATCAAGCCAAACTCTGACCTTTGCAAATACATGGAGTTGATTCCGGAGAACATTTATCTTCCTGGTCACTTTCAAGCTATGCTCCCTTCCACTTTGGGAGAAGAGGATGATGCCAAAGACTACGCCTCCGACGGCCTCGTTAGCCAGTTTTCACTCAAGCCAGGCAGCCCAGCATTGACTTTTAGCGCCAAGGTCAATAGAGCTGGTGAGTTGCTGGATTTCAAGGTTGAGCCCAGCAGACTCGAAAAAGTCGTGTACTTGGATCCCGAGGATGTATCCCGATTTTGCAACGAGCCAGCACCACCGCCAGTCCCCAACTACAGCCTCATCGTCGGAACTCCTGATGAAAACGAGAAGCCAAAGTTGAATCGCCCAATGACTACCTCTCAGGATCTAGATGCGTCCAGCAAAGAGGATTTGCTATTGCTGTATCAACTCGCCGAAGCTATCAAGAAGAAGCGCCTCGACAAGGGGGCGTGGCCGTACTTCTTCCCGCGGCCCTCCGTCTCCGTATCCTTCAGTGATACACCTGACTTGGCAGATCAATCCAAGAGCTTGCCTGCCGATCCTTACATCAAAGCTGGTTATGAGACATCGACGGGCTGCTCTGTCGTCTCTAATACCATGGTTCTGGCCGGTGAAATCGCGGCACGCTGGTGCTCATCTCGCGGCATCCCCATCCCCTACCGGAGGGACGTCAAGTTCAGGCATGGCGGGCAGATGGCTTTCCACTACGCTACAAAGGAGATTTACCCTCTGATCCGTAGAGGGATCGAGCCAAGCGGCAGCCAGCGGCAGGAAATGATTCGCCGTACCGGCGGAATCGAGATAGCAAGTCAACCTGGCCCATACTTCATCCTTGGGCTGGACATGTATGCCAAAGCTACGTCGCCGCTGCGCCGCTTCTCCGACCTGCTCGTCCACTGGCAGATCCACGCCGCCTTGCAACACGAGCGAGCCACCCGGCGAACCATTGATCCCAGCGTCGAGGACCCAGACGACATCCTTCCCTTTTCTTCGGCCCAGCTGGCGACCACTCTCCCGCTGTTGCAGCTGCGCGAGAAGATGGCACGCACGGTTTCTCGGGGCATCCTCGAGTGGATCCTCATTGCCCTTGTCCGTGCATGGCGCTTCGAGAAGACGGCTCCTCGCAAGCTCCGGTTCACCGTCGGCTCGCGCTGGCGACAGGGCTGCATAGGCAAGGTGGATTTCTTCGATCTGCATGCGGTTATGGACATTGAGGGCCTGAACCAGAAGGCCCTGATCAAAGATGTCAGGGTCGGGGACCAGTTCGACGTTGAGCTTGCGGATGTCAACGTACACTCGCGGCGCATCCTCGTCAAGGCCCTGAAGTATCTCGGCCCTAATGCCAGGCCGGTTTCATCGACGTCGGCTCTAACGTGAGCGCTCACGCTCGGCCCCAGCCAGACCTGCAGCAGTACGGGTGCGCCCTGATGGCATTGGATAGGCTAATAGCCAGTGCTATACGGCATCTCTGAGCCAAACGACGGCCATACCATCCGACAGCACGCCTTATCGACAAACCTCCTCACCGGGTTTGCCCAGTGGAGACTCCAGAAAGCAAGGCTTGCGTGTGTATGCCATGGAACCGTTACAGAGTACCAAGTGTACTGTACAGCACAGCAACCATGCCATGCAAGCCCGCATCACACCTCAAGGTGTCTTCAACCCAATGCACCGCACAGGTGCATATGCAACCCCCTTTTCCTCTGGCTCTGGGGCCCCATCCTCCATCCCCATCCCCCTCCTCCCATCTCCACCACCCCTTCGCCTTACAGACGCTGGCAGCCTCTGGTTGGCCTGTTGCCATTTTCCCTTCTCCCCGCACCCAATGTACATATGAATTACCCCAGACTTTTTTTGGCTACTACATTCTGACAGGGGGTTCCACTCTCCCCAGGGGTCTTTTGTTGGGAGCAGATTGGCCTCCAACTTGGACACCTACTGGACGCTTCTTTCGCTGCCGCACTCAGGCGCCTGGAACACCGACATGCTGCATCATGCGAGGGAGTACGTACGCCTGATTTCGTTTTTCTTGTTTGTTCATTATTATTATATTTTTTTGCTGCCCAGTCGCCACCTCCCTCGGTGCCATTCACCCTTGCAATTGTCTGCAGGTGGGAGCAGACTTGGCCGCAGCAAACTTGATTTGCTACTCCTCTGCATCTGAGAAAGAAACAAGAAAGGCACGGCACACATATGCTTCATGTACACATAACTTCCCATGTACCATATACCACATCCTCTCTCTGTACGAATAGCATCCCAAACGGCCAAAAAAAAAAGACACTTCCTGTCTGCATATTCATAGCGTAGATGACGCGGCCGCAGCCAGCAAGTCCTCATAGACGAATTGAAAAACAAAGAAACATACACATGTACATGACGCTTCCCTCGTAACCCAATCACCTGATTGCCCGCCCTCTGGTCCCACGGATTTCTCACCACAGGGCTCCATTGAAACCATCGTCCACTCTGGTTTCATCCCGCAAGGCCGACATGTTATTCCAGAACGCGCGGTGACGTTTTGTTCCCCTTCCCCCCCTGCTGTTTGCTGCGACGAAAGCAAGGGTGAAAAGAATGGACCGGCTTCTCCGCGCCCCTTGGGGAAGAAGACGCCAAGCGTATTCCGGTCGTTTGGCTGGGGAGGGGATCCATCGTAGCATTGATTTTACGTGACTTCATCTCCAGATTTCACGTCACGCAATGCTAAACCCGCAGCCCCATTAATAGCTTCTACCAAGGCTCGACGATAATCCATCTAGAGAGGACCCCTTCAATACTACCTAGGTAGTTAGTACTCGTACCTTAAGTAACAGTACCGTTAGTAACAAGTGCGAGTACTTGGGCATCAAGTACAGTATAAGCCATTGTGCACCTTGCAATATAAAAGGAAGCCTCCTTTATTCCAATGTTTATCTTGTATTTCGTTTGCTTGTGCTGTGTATTCCTATGTACAAACGACCCATCCTTCTACTTCGACCCAGATTTCGATCCCGTTTTCCATCTCGTAAAAAACCATCCCATGCCTATTTGCCCAAATCTTAACCAATTAACCACCCCCGTCCCCCTTTTACAACATGTTTTATCGCAATGAAAAGAAAAAAAGGAAATTAGAAAAGAAACCACAATTTTTTGGCATGCAAAAACAACACAAAACGCCCATTCTCAGGCAAGAAAACAAACACCCCTTTGAGCCGCCCATGAAATTTTGATATAATTGTAATCCAAGAAAATGAGAAAGCGGAAAGAAGAATGAAAACAAATCTCTTTGCGTGTCATCAGATGAGACGACGAAAAGGGTTTAAAGAGAAAAGACAGAAAAGTACAGAGACTGTGTCATAAGCCGTCGTATAGCCGGGATACCCCCAGCATTCGTTGAAGCAGAAAAAAATTTGGTTAGTGAAGGAAATTAGGCGGCCAAGGTGATAAGTCACCCGACCACCAGATGAGCATCTCGTGACATCTCCGTGTCCACATCGACAAGATTGCCATTGACTCTCGTCGTGCTTTCGCCTCCCGATGACGCCGGGCTCAAGACCAAGGCTTAGTTCGTAGCGCCCGGCTCAACAAAAACAAGCGTCCAAGTCCCACTCGGGGGCTCAATTGGCCCTGGGGTATTATGTAATTTGGCTGTTGTCAAACGCAAATCAGCGTGATGCGACACCTGGTACCCCGGATTTTGGCTTCGGGTCGCGGTGTTGGCGCTGGTCGAATGGAATTGTTTGCGCGGCGCTCAAAGTCCAGCTGGACGCTTGGATCATTCTGCTGCTCGTGGCATCGTGGGAGTCCGCCAACCGCCCAATTGAATCGAGACGAGGTTTGCCCCGATTACTTTCGCCACCCGACATTCCAAATGACATGGGCAATGTCGCGGGCGGTGTTGACGGTGTCAATCACCCGGCCAAAGATGCCCTCCCCAGATGACGTCCCGGCCTCGTCGCAGGGCATGAACATGCCCGATGGAGTTCGACGCATGCCGGCTGGCTCGTCGAGAAGACTGTTTGAGGATGTTGATCTCTTCAAGCCACCGGCACCAGTATCTGACGGTGGGGAAAGCCAGCCGGGGCTCTGGATTGTTGCGTCTAGGTCTTCCTCGTCTTCATCAAAGAAAAATGCGGCATTCGTCTTGGAAGGACGAAGGGTCTCCTGCGACGATGAGGGGGACAGCAGAGGGCTGCGGGCGCCGGTGCTGTGCTTCATGGCCGAGTCCTGAGAATCTGGGCTGTCCTCTTGGTATTTGAGGGTTGTAGATGGAAGCATGGCAATGATCTTGCCCTCGGCAAAAGCAGCCTTCTTCTGGGCCCGCTGCTTTGCCAATGGGCGTCGTTTTGACCTGACCCGCTTCATCATGACGCCGTCATCAGAGTCGCTCTCGTCACCATAAGTGTCCATGTCCATGTCAACGTCGTCGTCGTCATCGCCTTTGACGTCGACGGCAATGCACTGCTCCACCTGCTCGTTGAAGTGAATGTGCTTGCGCTCGGTGCAAGGCGATGTAATGCTCGACGATTCTGTAGACGTACCCCAGGCGCTGCTGTTCTCGTGGCTCATCCTCCTGGAGGAAAATGAGAGCGAGACGTAGTCTGTGTTTGCCCGCCCCAAGGTGGGACGCATTGCACTTCTTCGGTACTCCTGGGCGTGAACGGCTGCGGCAGCCTGCTTGAGAAGCGAGGAAGTCGACAGCGACCTCTGGAGCAGGATTTCCGACATGCTTCTCTTCTTGAGAATGGTCTTCTTGTTCAGATTGACAAGAGAGCTTGATTTTGATAATGACACGCTAGAGGGCCCTGTCTTGTTAGCAGAGACATTGCGCTTCCCAGATTGGAGAGGGCCGTAAAGCCAAGTGACGTCGTAATCTTTGAGCCTAAATATGGAATATTAGCACCCGTTTTCCGGTGTGGCAATGTAAGTGGCTCCATGAGACATACCAGTTGAGTGTCTCCGGGGAGATGGTTTTTAGGTTGTTCTTGGCCTTCATCCAGGTTCTCCAGGACGCATTCTCCAGCCTGGCACTGTTGGGGAACTCTCCTCTTTTGGATATTATATACCTCCACGAGGACCAGATGTCTTCTTCTCTCCAATCGTGGGAGAGGTAGTCAACCTGCCGAGACGGCTTGCTCGCAATAGCCGTGTCGTCTTCGGCATGGTCACTGAGTTCGGGGCTGTCGGGCCGTGAAGTGCTGACGGAGCTGTCATGCTCGGCAGGCGAGACAGTGTAGGAGTCACCGGTGCGAGGACTCGGCGGCGGCTCCAAATTGTCATCTGGTTGAATCTGCGGGGGCATATACAGCTTGTCGGCTGTAAAGGGCGGCAGGCCAAAGTGATCCTCTATGGTCAATTCTTCATAATCGGAGGCGACGGAGAGGTTGCTGGATGGGGTGGAAGTGTAGGAGACGTCTGCCGATTCGATGTGGGCAGTTCGAGGAGACGAAGGCGCCGACGAGTGGTCAGAGTCGGAAAAGGACTTGTTGGGAGGATGGGCGTAGGGATTCGACAGGTCGGCCATGTGGTGATATGACAATGAACCGCCAAGGTTGGACTGGGAGTGTGAGCGCCGCATCGGAGCGGATGAAAAGTAGCCGTCTTCGCTGGAAAGGACGGCAGCCATGCTGGATATTCAGGGATAACGAAACGGTGTGCGTGCGCGGCTGGGTAGCACTGGAGCTCTCCCTTTATGAATCAGAAAACCATGAGAAGCACGAGTGCTGCAGCATTCACCGAGGGCTGTTTGTTGAGTGACGAGAGTCGAATGGTGTAAGTGTGGGCGAATAAGAGGGCGAGGTTGATGCCGTCAGCGCTGCAGGTTCGGTCGGTAGCGGGAGCCGATTTTCAGGTCACCTGCGCACCCACACAAAACACGCAAAACAGTCTAGAAAAGCCGGGCTCGGTTCTGTTCCTGGCCAAGCACAAAAAGAGGAAAACGGGCCACCGCCAGCAGAAAAAACTAGGGTTAAGGAGGCAATTGAACAGAGGGAAAATGCTAAAAGGCGAGACGGCGACGAGATAAAGGGCAACACGAGTTCCAAAGGCAGTGCCGGCAAATTATTCGACCAGGTGACTGATGACAGGAGATGCCGAACGGCTGTGGGTTCCGGCGCAGCGTTCTGGAGCTGTTGAAATTGGAGGCGACTAGAGAGTCTGGGGTGGAGCGAGGGTAGCAGCCGCAGTGGTGAAACGAGAGTCGGCTCAAGAGGACGGGCAGGGCAGGGACAGCGGGAAGATGGAGAAGGAGAAGGAGAATGTGGAATGTGAATGCAAATGAAGAGATGGAGAGATGGAGGAGGAGGAGGAGGACGGAGTGAGCGAGGGAAGTGAGAGGAGAGAGAGCAAGAGTCAAGTCACAACAAGTTCGGGCCTAGCACAATTGGGGTGCAAAACAC